CACACACACACACACACACACAAGCCCGCTCAGTTGTGAACAAGCTGAACAGAACTGGGAGTGTTGCTAAAGCACAGGGTCCCTTGTTGTCTGCCGGTTGGCTTTAGAAGCGCTTCCCCGCTATAACCAACTGGTATTTACAATCCAGAGAGATTTGGCTTTGTTTGGATTAAACACACAGGATTGCACAAACACAAACACATGCAAGGAGAAGAAGATTAGCAGAAGAAAAAGAAGAAAAAGCTTCAGGTACTGCTACAATATCGAGCATTTGATATGGGAGAAATGGAAATAAAAGTCAATGTGTACACAGATGGTGTTGAAGAGGCAGAAAGATTTCAAGCATGCTGCACTTCAGGCCACACCCACGAATGACATCAACACATTTTCCATCAGACGTGCAAGCCAAAAACCTGCTGTGACATCAATGATTGTGGCTGTGACCTGAAGTGCAGCATGCTTACAAGTTTCCTGCAGTTTACTGCACTTTCTTATGTAACCTTAAGTCCTAAAGTCCCTTTAAATCTTTGATTCTCATTCTAAGAAAGCTTTTTGTTCTGTACATCTGGAGATTGGTGACATTTACTGAGGGAGAGGGAGTCACATGTTTGACCTTGAAGATTTTTAGCTATTTTACATTAATTTCAGTAATGGACTGATTGGTTTACTTTTTTTGCTTTTAAATTGGAAAAAAAAAATCAAGAATATTTCTGACATTTTTAATATTAAGTGAAGTGTTTTTACAAACGTTGCACTGATTTCACTGCAATTTTTTACAGATATTCGAGACCTTTAAAAAAGTCTTCATCAAAATTTAATCGCATTTACTAGGCTTTTAAGAGCAAAACTGCAACCCTAATGGAATAACCATCTTCTGGTTTTATGTTTAAGAGTGAGAGTGTTGAGCTTTTTTTGTCCATTTATGGTAATTACAATGCATTATAATATATCTGTCGCCAAATAAACGTATTAATGATATTCTGATACTGCCTCTAGGGTTTACCTGCATCGACAGAGGCCACATTTCTGTGGCAGAAGGCTGCTCCGCTGGCAGCTGAGTTCTGAACTGAAACTATAATTGAAATGAATTGAATACAGAAAGAAAGAGAGAACAAATAGAGTGGTAGAGATAAGATAGAGACACTGAGGATGAAAGCAGGAAAAGCAGCAAGTGAGACCTTCAATCTGTGCATCGTTCTCTCCTACAATCACTTCATCTCTTCCATCTCTTGCTCCTTTCTGCACCCGACATGTTTAAGCCTCCCTCATCCCTCCTTCTCCTCTCTTATTTTCTCGCCCTCGTTTTCTCTTCCTCTCTTCTCTCTCTCTTGCTTTTTCCACATCCTCCCTTCCTCCCTCCCTTCGCACTCGCTCACTCATTGCTTCCTGCTGCCACAAATCAAATTATATCGGGGTCGTATCCATGGGCAACCGACTCCTCTCCTCCCCTCCGCCCCCCATTTCCCACCTCATCACACACTGCTACCATCATCTCACCCCCCACACCCCCTCCCCATCTTTATCTCTCTGCCTATCTACATATCTCTCCACTCCTCTTCCTCTCTTTCTCTCTCTCTGTCTCACACACACAGACACACACACAGAATGAGCAGATAAATTATGTGGCGATGTTGGTAAGGGAGGAAATTACAGTTGTGCGGGATGACAAGACTGGTGATGTCGAGAGAAGCCACTGCAAACAACAACTGCTCCCTAAAAAAATTATAAGGTCATCCACCAGTGCTTAAAGCAAACAAAATCAGTCCCACATCCCAAACAAAACCTCTGTCCGTCTTTCTTTTTTTAGAAAAAAGTAAGCAGTGGGGTAGTGACTTTTGGTCTGAGCTTCAATCTTGCTGTTTACCACAAAGGATAAACAAGCTGGAGGTAATTGACATTAAGAGCTGAATTGCCAGGTAACCAATGGCAACTGAAGAATAAGACATCCTCAGTGAGAAGAGTAAGAAAGAAAGGGGGCGAGTGGTTTCATTTGAGTGCGTGTGCGTGCGTGCATGTGTCTTGGCGAGGTTGTGGTTGTGTGGCAGATGGATGAGGAAACCACCACTGACAACCACAACCTCCTCTTGCTGTTTCCTGTAGCCAAAACCCTCTCTTTCATTTGCTAGCTTACAGTCTCGCTCACACATACAGTTTGAACAGTTGGGGAAAAAAATAATTAATAAATAAATAAATAAATAAATACACACACCGGGTCTCACTATACTAATCAGTACAGGTATGAGTTTTCAAGGATCTACAGAACCATGATATGCTATTTTTATTTTAAAATGTTAGAGATTTGTTTTCTCATGTGCTATTCTGTTGAATAATGCCTAGAAGTTTAGAGTTACAGTGCATGTGCAAAATTGAATCTTGATCTGCTTTCCAACGTGGGTTATCTCAGCACAGGGGTTTTTCTGCACGTTGGACTACAGTTCACGATGAACTACAGAACAGGATGAGAGCTACAAATTGCAGTCTAAGAGAGTGGCATTGGATCCATTTATATGCAAGATAAGAAACTCTATGGAGAATAATTCAAATGGTATCGAGATTGCTCTTGATAGTGCTCGGGTCAACTTGCAGTTAGCTTCTTTCTCTTGCAGCCTCTTCTAGCTCTTTTTGAGGAGAGCACTAAGTGTTCCAAGCTACCCAAGCATGTCTTGGGTATACCCTGGGGTCTTCGGCCAGAAGGACATGCTCAAAAAAATCCCACCTCACAGATGCCTTAAGAGGCTTCCTAGTCCGATGCCCAAACCACCTCATCTGGCTCCTTTTAATATGGAGGAGCAGCAGCTCTGCCCAGACACCCTTCCGAGGAAGCTCATTTCCACTACTTGTATCTCATTTTTTTGGTCACTACCCACAGCTTGTGGCCACAGGTGTGGGTAGGAATGGAGATCAACAGCTTTGCTTTCACAATCACTTCTCACTTCAAGAGAGCAGGCCGATACAATGTCCACATCGCTGCGGACACCACACAACAGATTGATGCTTAATGCTTCATAAATCGTTAGACTTTTAAATACTTCTTTATGCATGACTATATTCCAACAACTACTAAAAGTTATCTGTTCTAAAATGTTAATCCTGTGGACTCTCAGTAAATTTGCTATAACTACAACTACTTCAGTTAGGAGACTGATTATTCTTCAACAATGGGCTACACTTGAAAAAAATTTAGATCAGCTGAAATGCTGAAATTCAACTTATTTAGCAGTGAAAGAAAAAATTCTGCACAATTACCTTTTTCCATTCACAGATATTTTAAAACATTTATTGAAAGCTGCTTCAAGGCTCATAAAAAAGTACTGCACATGAGATTTTTTCATGTGTAAAAGATCATGCAGATTCAGAAACATGGCTTAGAATTGTATGTTTTGCTAGATGGAAGCAAAAAGCTTCCAACTTTGTAGAACAATCTTTAGCTTGGAAAAGTTCATGTTCAGATTTTAGCTGAATTATGAACGTATGCATCAAAGCTGTAACGTTGGCTGGGGGTGCCGCTGAGGATTAGTTTACACCTGACTCATATCTATTTTTTTTTTTCTACAGATGGGTATGTGAATTCCCACTGGAACATTTTGCATGAAATTGCCCCGATTAATTGATCTACAGGCCTACAATTAATTCAACAGCGATGTTAAAAAAAAACCAAAAAATTAATGGCACGACAAGTTTAAATTAGTTTACTTTTAGACTCAGCGACAATACAGAAATACTCATTACAATATGCTAAATCTGTATCAGGAGCTGGTTTAAATGTTAAAATCAATAAATATTTGCATAAATGTAAAGAAGTGCTTTGATGTGTCTAATAGCTGATCATCTGAATTAACCATAAACTGATAAAGTCCCATTTGCTTACTGCAATTGCATGTTTTATTTAACAGTTTCTAATCTAAATGATCAGAAAATACTTTGCAATGGGAGTTGAGGCACAAGGGTTTCTTAATATTTAAAACTACACATCATAGAGACGTCTGTGAAATCACGTTTTCTCCAATCAGTTTGGTATGATGGACTAATAATAGTGACGCTAAATGCACGACTACAATACTCATTAGACTTAACAAAGAAAAACAGATGGAGGAGCAGTGTACTGGAGAGCAACTGCCCCAAAATCTGATGCAAAATCAGAATCAAAATATCATCTCTGACTTTGGGGTCAGTGTTAGCAAAACAAAAAGATAAATCTTAAGCGGATAGTTTATACTAGCATCCCTGTAGTAATAGTTTTAAGTGAGTTTTCTTGTTCCTTGAAATTTAATTTCCAAAACAAGCCGATGATGAATGTAATTCTTGCATTGCACTATGCACTACAGCTGTTGCTTAACATAAATCTGATTAGCGATTCAGGATTCTTTGATTTCTGGCAGCGAATCTTTCTTCTTCTTACATCTTCTTGCTAAAATGGGTCACAGTGTTAATGAAAAGTCAACTCTTTCTGTGTTATCTTTGATGTGACAAACACTCTTCCATAAAAAGAAATAAACAAATAAATCAAAGCATTCCAACATGCCAGTCCTGTTCTTTTTCATGCGTCTTTGTCTTTGTAAGAAATGTGGTATTTGAGATGTTGTCATGTTTCCAGCCGGGGCCCACACTCTGAACGCTGTTTATTTTGCAGAGCTTATGGCAGCATCTCTGAATCAACATGTAGGAGGGTGACGGGCTGCATGTACTCCAAAATTCATTTGATTTCCTTTCAGAAGCTGCACTGTTCATTAGCTGAAGCAACACAGAGAAAGCATCTAAAAACCACTTATTTCATAGTCTGTTCCATATCAAACACTAAATGTCATTGAGAGAACAACTGAATCCTGCTTTACTGTGTCAACTGCTCTCACTGAGAACATCAAAAAACAAGAAAAAAAAGGGGGGGGGGGAGAAGGTGAAATGTAAATGCTCACTACAGCTTCGGTTCGATAGGAGCATCAGAATGTCATCACGCTGACTGGTTTGACAAAGTGATTAAGAAATCATTTTCTGCGGGGAAATCGCTTGATCGCAGTCATTAATAATTTGGGATTGTGACATTATGATCATGTATTACTACAGAGTTCATCACCTTATTGATAAACTGTTCAACACCTGACACAAACACTGGCTGCTCGAGCAGAAACAGCTACAACCCATTCCTCCTTTATGTCCAATTGTGTACTGATGAATAACAAGTCATCATACTTCACCGACCCCCTGCAGGCACTGCTTCCTCTTCTTTATCGAAATGCAACCTGCTAAGATTGATGAGAAGAAAACTGAGGATGATTTTCCAAACCCTACGGCCACCTCGCTTTTACACTGCTCGGGTCTTATTCAGTCAGGCACCTTGTTTCTCTCCCTACGCCTGTCTCCATCTTGTTTTTCTTCTCTCTCTGTTTTTGAAGGTGGGCACGTCAAATCCATTACTCAATCTGCTCAATGGAGCGAAGCCCATTTACCAGTTGACTCATTTTAGATGGATCATTTACCCTTTCATCCTCTCTGACAATGCCACTGATGTAACCAGAGGGACTGAGTCTGTTTTTTGGGGAAATATCATACTTTTTTTTTTTCTTGCCTTTTTCCACTGTAGGAAGGGGAGGTGTCAGAGAAACCCCCCGACACATATGAGCCTCATAAAACACAATGCTATTATACTGTTCTGTTGTGGCACTCTTGAGAGAGCTGCAACTATGTTGTTCATGCTACATGGGACATATGAAAAACGGAAAGGATCCCTGTGGGAATTTCTTATTGCCTGAGCTAAAGTATTCTGTCACCACAATGGAATTCAGTGCTGGAAAAGTGAAAATGATCATTTCTTTCTTAGATCTGAGCAGGACAGATGAGAGCTATATAGAGAAATCAGCTCAGTGAAAGCCTGCATCTACTGGCTATATATGGGTCATTTAACACTCCCGACTGGATCGTGAAGTTTAGCTCAGAAATTAAACAAATATGTGTGTGGTTGTTAATTTTGTCTTTAGCCTTCAGTGTAACCATTTAGCTACAGCATAGCTAATGAGTGCATTAACAAATTTAACAACAATGTCTGGACTGTGTGCTGCCTGTGTTTTCTGCTGCAAGTTTCTCAAGCAAGTGGAAACTGAGACCGAAGAAGATAAAGTAATGACACAAACTGTCCCACGATCACTCCAGATGGGTCAAATACAACTGCCTTGTGGTACAGTGGTGCTATCAGCAGAAGAAACCCACTCGGCGACATATCAAAGTCATCTAGTGTTGTCTGTGCAGAGATACTTACCCCATTTTAACAACTGCAAGGTCCAGCTTTATTATAAATGCACATCATAATGTATAAGCTGTGCAATTCATTTCTTATATGAACAACATAATGTCTATAGCAATGTCCCACATTTGCAAACAAGCTATTTAATGTGTTCATTTTATATTACAAGTTCCTTACAATAATTATGCCAGTTTTTATGAAATTAAGCTCCTGAAAAAATTAAATAAAACTCAATATTAAATCTTGATTACCTAACACTGCATGACATTTATCATATTCTTCACTACAAGGGCGTTTGGGATTTCCTTATGCATGCACATGAAACAGGGTCAATACAGGATTCATTTTCAAATACCACAGGACTGATCCACAAATCCAGCTATTTATAATTATCCAGCTACTTATATTAACTTTGTTGAAAACTTTGGTTCTTTAATTTTGGTTTCTGAAACAGGAAAGTTTAACAGGAGTTTCTTTCCATATCATGACAGTTCAGGTCATTTGTTCTAACCTGTTTGTTGCGTTCGTCAGTGATCCTCTGAATCTGGATCTTTTTCCTCCCCATGGTTCTGGTGTTGCAGTGGGAGGATCAGGGGAAAGTGACAAGATGTGAGGTCACGGATGGCTGCTGTTACTTTTCCTCCTCTTTGAATCTCTATTCGCTTTCAGTTTGCCCTCGCTGTGCACACTGACCCTGTTTGAAGGACCCAGGCAGGGAGGCTTTCACCAGCAAGATAGAAAAAAACAAAAACAAAAAAAGAGGGAGAAGGAAGAAAGGAAGAACGGGGCTCTGTGTACAGCACGCTTTTCAGATCATGGTCCTGTTTCTGGGGGCAGGTCATCCACACTCAAGCTGAACTAGGATCTTCTGCCCTCCCCTTCACCTCAGCTGGGCAGCTTCTGGAAAACAACACAAGAGACATTTATCAGGCTGAGAGAGACAGAGATTCTGAAAAGGGCAAGGAGAGCGAGGCTTTGTTTGTATATTATGACCTTATTTAGCTACTACAAACCCAACATATACAAGAGAATAAATGATGCAACAATCCATTTGAGGCACTATCAAATCAGAAGCACATTTGGCTGAAATGAAGAGTAGGTGAGGGGGGTGGGAGTGTTTGTGGCTCTACATGCAGAGCAAGAGGCCCTCAGGGGCCCGCGAGTCGGGAGGCTGTGCTGTGTCAGCTTCATTAGAGGCATCACCGCCACATCACTGATCTGCTGGTCGCCCACGGCAACCGGCTGCCCGGCCCAGGCCGCCTGACACGCCGAATGTGAATCCCCGATCAGAGGCACATTAGAGAGTCTGCGGATTCTGCTCATTTCCCATTTTCAAAACACCGTCTTATGCATTGATCATTTCTCTACAGGAAGCTCAGTAGTGACAAGACAATATGACGATCTGCACTATGCTAAAGGGAATTATTCTCCCTTTAAATCCATGAAATATCCATATAAATAATCAATGTGGTTAAAATGCAATTTTCAGTCTTTTCAAACAGATTTTCTCACGAAAGATACCAGACACATCTGCAAACAAAATGAGTGGGCAGATCTCCAGTGACACTTCATATTTAAAAGACAGGATGGCGAATGTCATTTTCTGACCATTAATATCATTACGCCTTATTACCTAAACTGAATGCTGACCTAATTCCATGCAGAACAGCGAAAGATGACGAGTGTAAAAACGTGTGTCTAATTCACTCATACGTCTAACTAACCATGAAATAAGGGTGGTCTGGGATACGCTACGGTGCCTGATCAAAAACAGAGGATGGGTACATCACGAAGTCCATATTTTAAAAGGGCAAGTCAGAGCAAGAAAGCCCAGAGTGTTTCTGCAAATTCATGCAAACTCATGAATGAATGAGACGGCAGCAGCCCAGGAATGGCAACAGAGGCAAAGACCGTTTTAGGCCCTGTTACTACTATTTACGGTTCATCTTTAAAAATAGCACTCTATATATATATATACATACAGATTGTGTGGACACACAGCACAGCCTGCACGTGCACACACACACACACACACAC